CTAATCAGGTCCGAAACAGGGCCAATAAAATACGGGACACAATGCGTCACCAGTGAACAACCACGTGAGTTACTTCTCAGGGGCCACATTTTTTTTTCGTTTTTGTCGCAGTCACTGAACCAGTCTGTAGTTTGCGTTCGCCGTATTCTGTCTTGTAGAAATAGGTTCTCACTATTTTATATAGGTGGAGTGAATTATGGCGCCACCGTCTATGCATATTTCTGAACGAGCGCAGTTGGTGCGCTGAGAATGTGTGTCTGTAAGGCTAGTGTTGATTGGCGTTGAGTGAGGCTTCGGCTCAAAAGCGGATACGACTGCGCAAATATTGCTTCTGTGAAACAAAAATTTATAAGTGGTTCTCATTTACGCGTATTATATTCTAAAATAAAAGTCCACTCACCTCGATGGCATAACCAGACGATTAAAAAAAAGAGAGAGATACAAACGACTAGCCTAGCAAGCTAAGCAAATATTTGTTGCTTTTTAGGCTTCGTAAAATTGTACATCAACGCATAAGTTTCCGCGTTAAATGAAAGTCGTTTCTGTGCAATCATAAAGAAATAAGAGCATATTCATGGAATGAATGATGATGAGAAAAAAGAGAGAGATACAAACGACTATCCTAGCAAGCTAAGCAAATATTTGTTGCTTTTTACGCTTCGTAAAATTGTACATCAACGCATAAGTTTCCACGTTAAATAAAAGTCGTTTCTGTGCAATGATAAAGAAATAAGAGCATATCTATGGAATGAATGATAATGAGTGGAGCGAAGCACCCGTACGTCCATCCGTGCTTCTGCAGTCCGTCCATCCGTGTCCTTCCATGCGTCCGTTCATGCGTCCACCCGTCCGTCCATGCATTTGTCCGCATGTCCGTGCGTTCTTCTGTCCTTATGTCCACCCATCCATCTGTCTGATAGTGCGTCCATCCGTCCATGTATGTCGGTCTGTCCGTCCGTCTGTCCATGCGTCCGTCCATCCATTCGTCCGTGTGCGTCCATCCCTGCATGCATTCATGCGTCCGAACGCGTTCGAGAATGCAGAAGGCGCATGGGTAACACCGACGATAAGCGAGCCAAGAAAGCCGAGCACAAGCGTCTTCAACGCACCCACCACTCTGCTTCGTTCATGTCCCACCGACCGATCCGCCACGTAAGGCGACTATCCAGGAGACTGAGGGAGGCACTTTTTCCTCGTACAACCAAGCAAAACCTGCGCAGCAGCCAATTGGGTAGCGCAATCTAGAATATCCTCACTCAACTGCAGTTTGTATGTATTTCTATGAGACAGCGCCATCTATTATACTGCTCTAGAGATATTGCCTTCCTATTTTTCTCGTCTCTTCTCTCGATTACGCCACACGCAGGAGATTACGCCACACTAAAAGGAGCTTCGCCCCTAATTATTATGGACCACCTCCCCAAATGGAACAATGGTGGGATGCGAAGCAGCAGCGGTGCGCACACCGTTGACCCGGCTGAAACGGGCGTAGACGTGGTAGCTGAAAGAACGGTTTCAAGCGAAACTCAGTGTATCCTTTGCTCGAGTAAGCATTAATTGCGCAAAGACATGGCAGGCAGGTTGGGTTTCGTGTAGGTTTCATCGCAGAGAAACGAGCCGGATGAGTGTTTCCACTCGAGTGGCGGTCGAGCATTGCGGGCGATGGGGGGTTAAGCGAGAGAGAAGTGTGCTGCGCGCAGGCGGAGCAGCAACACCGCCTAGGTGTGTTGGGAGGCGCCGGCAACTGGTGCGAGGGAGAGAGAGAGTGACTTGACCTACTCGCGCAGCTGCGACTTGAACAACTTGACATCGTTTCAACGACTGCGGCGGGAGTAATGCGGTGCGGCCAAGGAGGTTTTTATATCCTCTATGGGTGCGGCACGTTGGCACGGAGAGGCGGACGGACAGCGTTACACGGGTAAGTCAAAGAGCTGCATCGCATATAATAAATAGCTCACTGTGTGCTCTTTCAGTGAAAAATCAGACATATTGACGCAAGGAGGGCGTTGCGAACAGACGATCTTCGAGGTGTCCGGCCTCTACGTGAATGATACAAATACGCGTCACGTTCTAGGATCAGATATTCCGGAATTGCCATGCATCCGACTTACTACAGCGCCCGTTTTCCTTTTCGCTAAATGTACGAAACTCTATGTTCCTGTATTTAGGCGAAAGATGCTTCATCAAACGTGGAACTACACCGTCAGCGTCTCGCATCGTCGAGGACGCCGAATATTATTATTATTATTATTATTATTATTATTATTATTATTCATACGGAGTATGCGCACCCTTGATGATGAGTGTGTGAATGAAAGGGTGACTGACGAGCAGAGGAGGTAACTAAGAACGAAGAGGAACGACACACCACCCTACTGCTGCTTGCCAAGTGCATCAGGGGGGAGAAAATAACATCTGAGTCGAAACGCCACCACGTGAAGGAGCACCCGACTGACTTTCGGCGGCAGTGAAAAATGCGTGTTTCTATACGGAGACATGTCCACCGAGCACTTCACAAAATGGAAGCAACAGCTCGTTAACGCGCGTCGTGCGCTTGTCCACATCGCCATTTTTATTTTATCTCGGCGCCTTTTCCCAAAAGAAAAAAATCAACTTCTGCAGCTTTCTCGCCGTTCAAGACACTTCTCGAGCAAAAAGAAAAAAAAAAAGTGAAAAAGCAGTGAAGATGTCAGTACTAGGTGGCGTTCAAGCGGGAACGTGGCACTTCTCAGGTTGCGCCGCTTGAAGACCACATGCGCCGAGCTCGTATATCAAAGCCAAGGGTTCCCTGACAGATGGCGCTGCCTTCAGAAAAGCGCAGCTTACGCAGGTTCAGCAATTTTCCTATTTTCGGCGTTTTTCTGTGTATTTATGTGTAGCTGCAGGCAACGGCAGAGTCATTCTCATTAATCGCAGCTGTGCGAATACTTTCTATACGCGAGCTTTTACAGTTGAGCTTTCCTAAAACACGTGCGTTCAGAATATGCACTACTACGGCAACGCGACGCACCTACACATTGTGTAAGGAACCGTCGTAAGTCACGACTCGAAAGGAAGGACGCTGCTTCAATGAAGACTTTGCGGACAGCTCACTGCACGGGCTGCGCATGCCAGGCATATCTCGAGCAGTCATGGCACATGGAGGCGATAAACTTGAGTGGTCGATAAAAGTGGCCGAGAAACAAGTATATACAACGAGCGTCAGTGCTGCATGAGTGGGTTTGACAAAAACTTTCATATCTCTCCTGGATGTTAAATATAGCCACGCACGCAGAATTGATTGATTGATTGATCGATTGATTGATTGATATGTGGGGTTTAACATCCCAAAACCACCACATGATTATGTGAGACGCCGTAGTGAAGCACTCCGGAAATTTCGACCACCTGGGGTTATTTAACGTGCACCCGGATCTGAGCACGCGGGCCTATAGCATTTCCGCAAATGCAGCCGCCGCAACCAGGATTCGATCCCGCGACCTGCGGGTCAGCAGCCGAGTACCTTAGCCACTAGACCACCGCGGCGGGGCCTACGCACACAGAAATAAAGATTCAGGGGCCAGTGCAGCGACGTACTCATCTCTTGCCTCGTACTAAGTTGGGCTGCGCAAACCAGTGTTGGCCATCGCTTAATTCATGAACATTCTGACAGATGTTCCGCCGTCAGTTCATATTTTTTTCACAGTACTACATACCAGCAAGGCCAAGGTAGGAGTGAAATTAGAAAAAAAGAAAGAAAAGATAGTGACGTACACCTGAAGAAATAACTGATAACAGCCCTGGAAGGTATCACAAGCAATACGCCAGTGTTACTATAGGACGATATTTAACAAATGAATGAAACAAAAACAGCACCACCAACAACAATCATACCACAAGTAATATAATATTTTCACTGATTCGATAGGACAAATGCTGCTCCAAGACTTTGTCGATATTGTCTGCGTTATAAATGAATTCGGGTAGACTGCTGAAATCAGAAACAGTGCGGGGAAGAAAACTCCGTTTTAATGTCTCCGTTCCGGCAATGTCTGTCGTAGGGTGTGTCTGCGACAGATATGAAGAAATATGAAGAAGCAGAAATACCAAGCTTTATATTGAAAATATTGCGCAAGGATTTCGGTCGAGCAATTTTTCTGCGGACAGCCAAGGCGGCGACGTTATGAAGTCTCGGAAGTTAGGTAGGTGAATCTAGTCTCTTGTATTTATGGAATACAAATCTGATGGCTCTCTTCTGTACCAAGGTTCTAGCGAGCTTCGACGATATGACTGTGTCTTCCGTTCCTTACGAGATTTCCTTTGTTACCCTGAGGCAGTTCTTCAGGTATGTAGTGTCGTGACACAGGTCACCCGACTCGTAACTACAATCGTGCTCTAGAGGCCCTGGACGAGCACTTCCTCTCCCCCTCCTCTTCTCGATTGAAACACGGCTAAAGACGTCGTACTCTAAACTACACGCCGCTGTTGCGCGATTTCTTCATCCGCTACAGATGCACCATACGCTTACTATGTCAGAGAGCTGAGCCAGATGGAATGTATATGAGATTCAAGAAACAGGGCACGCAAAGACGGACACAGGAGTGAAGACATCACAAACGTTGACTAACAAGGCGCACAACAAACCGAGGCACGAGAACTTATCCGCATGCCCATGCAATAAGAGAACCTATCACTCCTGCAAGTTCGGGGTTTACGTGGGAGATGGCTATTTAAAAACTTCATTTTCTTGCTTGTGCCTGCATATATATAACGGCGGTAGCACATGCGTCCACCCAACTTTAAGTAAAGTGGGCAAAGACAAATCATATGTCTGAATGGTTATCTCTCCACTAGACCACCCGGGTGTCGTATTGACAGTTAGCGTATTGCACGGGCATGTATATAAGTTGCCAAGCCTTCTTCTTTTCCTACATTGTGCGCTTTCGCAGTTTGCGATGTCTTGATGTCACTCTTGTGTCCGCCTTTGCACGCCCCGTCACGATGTCGTTCGGGGCATATACCTCTTCCCAGGAGGGGCGAGTCAAAGGTGCTGCCCTCGGTGGTGGATGCCCAATTTCCGCCCCAGATGTCGTAGCCGTCGCTGAGCTCGCTGCTTGGAGAAGCCCGATACAGCGTCGACGTTGCCATAGTCGTCCAATGAGGGCTCGCAGCCGTGGTCGTCGTCAACTCGTCAGAGCCTGCAGCACGGGTGTACACATAATCATCAAGCAAGACCTCCTGCCACACTCATGTTTACATGCAGGCTCGCCCTTAGCGCCACTGCCCGTTTCAACGCTCTTCCGGATCAAACTTCACCCCATCTTTGATCGCGAAAGTTTCTGCGAGACCTGACCTCGTTGCATTTTAATTACTTACAACGTTGCTACAGCTTGGTGCTTGTCAGCCTTCTTTTGATTCTTTTTTTCACTTGCTTTTAGTTTATCTTTCGTAGTTCTGTACATACTGATGTCCCTTTACTCAATGCCATTTGATGGCACTGTCTGGCATTCGTTTAAACTAATAAATAAATATTCGAACCAACAGCCTAGCAACTCGCACAAACGTTTATCGGCACGTTTCCAGCACGCATCGTTACCTCCAATCGAGGCCGAACTGGAAACGGCTTCGTGAGACAGCCACACATTCGCTTAAAACTCGAAATACGACAAGAGGAATTCCTGACAGGGTACATGAGATGAAATCATGGCCTCATAAAATGCTGTTCTCTAAAGCTGAAGCGAGCAAAGTGTTCCATACATGTTGCAATGACACACCGAGAGAGGCCATCTATTTATCGTCCCTTTACAATTCCGTCACATGTCAGAGTCCAGGTCGAAGAACGCCTCAACAGATTGCGAACCTCTTCTAATTAGAAGTGAGCTCTACTCCATGGCACCCTGCTTCTTTCGTGGAAATTTCGATCAAGGGAGGCGCTACAATCAACTGGATCTACCATCATGGTGACACGGACGCACGCGCAGATAGCTGCGCACCGTACCACAATGCATCAACTAACTGATCATCAAAATCTGGTGCCCCCTCCAAGACGGCCATCTTCTTTTTGGTCAACGGCAGCGAGTCATGCTTGCACAACTGCACCTGTCTTTGTTGTTTTTCGTCTAATCAAACAATCATTGCGAAAAAAGCAGTAGAGCTCTCCTAATAGCTGGCCGCAAGAGCCAACTCTAATACTTCGTGAAAAGAGCACAAGAAGGGGCTATACGATTGGGCGTAGAAGAAGCTACGTACCGGGGACCTGGGGCTTCGCCGATGGCCTGGCCACGGTGCGCGCTTCGCTAGCCGAGGACAGCGTTGGTCTCGCGGTCGAGGTCCGATGGTGGCGAGAGGGTTCCGTGGACGGCTCTCCCGGGGGAGCCGGAGAAGACGGCAACAGCGGGGAAGGAGGAGGCCTCTGGAACTGGGTCGCTGGTATGATGATAAGCGGTCGCGTTGTCGTTGTCGTGGTAGGCGTCGTTGAAGACGTCGTACTCGACGGCGTCGTCGGTGACTCTGGCGAGGGCAGCGGAAAAATGTGCCACACGAGGAGTGAGGTTGGTGCGTTGCAAAAGGAATGTCACACGCTTGCATGCAACCATATTTTACTGCTATTCAACCCGAAGTCGCTAGATATATAAAACTCGGGCCTCATTGAAGAAGGAGCTCAGCAGCTATAATGGTTGGCTCTTGTCTTTCTTTTTCAATTTGACATAAAACAACGAACCAAAAGAGGCTCTTGTCGTTCCATAAAGACTACTTCATTTTATTCATTGTAATATATGCTTCTTTTAGCATTATAGAATGTGCCATATTTACGCCATGCACGTAAACCAAGTAGCGATGAATCTAAGTTGAATGAAAAAAAGATCGGCGTAGCATCGCTAAGATGCGCAGTTGCGATTTCTCTCAGCTTTCGTCATTTATCAGCAGAAGAGCACATTCGCACACTGAGGCTTCAACGCGCGTCTGGCACATGCATCGCGCGGGCATCAATTGCAGAGTCACGCGGCACACTCAAGTGAATGGTGACGATGATGAATGTGTGCAAGAAAAGAGCAGTGATGCAGAGTACATGCACGAGAGTTGGAAACGATCAAGTACCACATCACGCGCATGTACATTGTGCCATTATTCGGAATGAGGTCCTCCCTACAGCAAACTCTGCCATTCGTACAGTGTATTATGACGCAACGAAACACATTACTCAAACAGCGAACTACGCCATTTGAGCCCTTTACTTCAGCTTTCGGCGTGGTAGAGCAAATGGCACGAACGACCGTCTAGCTGATTTTTCCCCAAAAAGACGGCCCGTTGGGCCAGTTGGTTCGGACTCATCGTGAACTTGGTTAGCACTAGAAAACACAGACACAACAAGGAAGGAACAACACGGCGATGCGTTGTTATTTTTCCTTTCGTGTTGCGCTGTTAGCCAAGATAAACCCTCTTCAAGTCATGGAGTGTTCGTTATTCGCCCTGCAACGCTAATGGCTATTTGCATCTTTCTGAGCAAATAATAATATTAATATTAATAATAATAATAATAATATAAGTGGTTTGACATCCCAAACGTTCTTAGGGAGATTCAAACTGTGAAGGTTATCGTGATGCACAAAGGGACCGGGAAGTTTGACCAGTTATATTGTAGACCAATTGCCATTTTAGCGGCTGCTTGAGAAGCCATGGTTCTGAAATAAGGATCTGAGAACCCCTGGAGCAAAAACAACAATGAAAAATTGAGGAACCCTTACGATTTTAAGAGTCGAACGCTATAGCGATATATTCTGTTCCTAATGCGTACTTCAAACCCTTAGTTTATGAAATCTTTTCCAACTTGCTATGCACCCAACTCGTGACCTTAACGGTCCAGCAGCGTGTGTGGTTCTTGCAGTGGGTGACTCGCTTTAAACGACCTAGCCATTATTATAATCCCAAGTTCTCTCGCCCGATGGAAATGCACATTTGTAACATGCATTATGAAGGAAGGAGATATTTCACGTGGTACTGGAAAGCATGTACACAGGACACGTGTGTTTGTAAAGCATCAAAGTTACTGCCACTGCATTTCCAAACATAGGAAGTTATTTTCACTGTATTCACAAGCAGAGTCATGGCTGTGTCGCAGAATAACCGCAAAACCACACATGCGACCCGGGTTCGATCCACTTTCAGACTGAGATTATTTTATCATTTCTTTTATTCGAATCTTTCTCATTTTTTCAGTCACACAAAAATATTTTTAACTCATAGCCAACGATACCGACGCCAGGATTTCTGCGAAACGAGCTCTTTCACGCTGCCGCATTAACACGCTTTTCGGAGAGGCACCCTATGTCCTATGACAGCTGCCTCATCTGAATTTTCAGTGCTTCGCCGCATAACGACAGTGCAATGCGGCAGAGCTCACTTATGTTTCCCCTTTTTCAAGATACGGCTGTAAAGCTTTATGTTGCGGATGCCTGCGATATATGCAACGCCAGCATGTTGTTTCTATGCTTGTATGCCTGAAGAGCCAACATAGCGAGAAAGGGGGAAAATGCGGCTGCATGCCGCACAACTTAATCTAAAGCTGTTGAGATCGAATTGGTGATGCACTTCAATCATTCGTTTGCAGGGAGAGAAATAGTAAAAGGCGCCTATTTCGCGCTGACTGCTGTATTAATTTATGACACCCCCATTTTTATTTCTTATTAGTGGAACAATGTTTCTATTGCGTAACTTGTAGTTAGCTTATGTTCGCATTTATGTATTTTTAGTGCATTGTTGTACAACTAGGTATATTATGTTTTGTGCTTTTTCTCTATACTGCTGTGCCTCCCCCCCCCCTTTTTTTGTTACCTTGATCTCGTTTGAGACTGGCAGTATTTCTAAATAAAGAAGAAAAAATTTGTTGACCTGCAAGTAGTCCCTCGTCACTTCCACTCGTCAGCAGGGGATGCCCCAAGCATCCATGCCTGGGAAGGCCTGTTATATACTCAAGAATAACCGATTTCTCAAACAAGCACCCTGTATCATTTAACCATCACTTATCTTTTTATACGCCTGTGAAGAAACGCCTCTAGCACTCAAAGTTTGCAATGACTCCTTGAAAGGTCTTGATTTATTCAGTCCTAACTTAGCAGTCAGTAAAATAAAGTACAATTGTGTACGGAGGATTTCCAAATAATATTGATTAGCAAATCATTGAAAACAATATTGCTCTGTACGGTGCCCATTACGTGAAATCAGGCGTACCGCAAGACAGCATTTTAGGCGCTTTGTCAATTTTGGTCGCTACGGACGTTGTACAGCTACAAGACTAGGTGGCTCGCAGCTTTCACAGCGCTTTCACGGGACCGAAGTTAACTTCGCTCGCTCAATCAAGCCTCAGAAACGCACCCACAACCTGCCATAGAAAACTTGTCTAAAGTTTAACAGTAGCCAAACTAGAGCACAACAGTTCAACGTAAAGGGCAGAATTGCAAAACCTATCAAGCTGTAGTTTGGAAACAACAATTGTGAACCATTCGAGCATCAAATCCGTCACAGCGATCTTCTCGCAATAACTTATGTGGGATGCAGAAATTAGAAAATTATGATCGCAAATGAAGAGAGTTAAAGGTGTGCAATGTCATAAAACATATCTCTTACCGATAAGAACCAAGCTATCTATCTGCAGCGTTCTGAGAGCCAGTGACTATCGTCACGCTGTCTGGTGGCACAAGTAAAAACCCTAATATACTATTCTTCCTCAGAAACATTCGCCAACATAAAAACGTAAGTGGCTAGCATACCCAGGCGTTCGCGCGCAGAGAATATTGTTCCGAATTCTTCATTATTAAATATATTGTGATGACGTTTATTGAACCGGAGAAGTCGCAACGATGTCGCAACGAAAAATGGCCGTACGACAAGCCTCGCAAAGGCGGCCTAGGTTCTCGTGCAATCAGAGCACGGGGTTTTTCCTTCTCTTTGGAAGGCGCATACACGTTAGTGCGTATGCTCCACTACAATACCCCCCGGGTTGAAGAGTAGCCATCCTGGCGACTCAGGGAGTAGGCACAATGAGGGGGTCGTAGTAGGGCTTGAGACGGTCGACGTGTACAGTCTCGCGTCCTCGACGGCGCAAATCTGGCGATTGTGTTAGGGGCTCGATGATGTAATTCACCGGCGAGGTTGCTTCAATGACACGGTATGGACCATGGTACCGGGCCAGAAGTTTAGAAGACAGGCCAGGAACGTGCGGGGGCACCCAAAGCCACACGAGGGAGCCAGTACGAAACGTAGGCGCTATGTGATGAGCGTCATCATGTCGGGTTTTTTGTAGACCTTGAGCCTCACTTGTCATAGACCGAGCCGACTGACGGCAGTCTTCAGCGTATCTGGCGACTTCCGAAAGCGGGGAGCACTCCGATGCATCAGGGCGGTACGGGAGTATGGTGTCGAGTGGGTGGGATGGTTCGCGGCCGTACAACAGATAGAACGGGGAAAAACCGGTAGTCGCTTGCGTCGCGGTGTTGTAAGCGAAGGTAACAAAAGGCAAGACAGCGTCCCAGTTAGTGTGGTCGGAGGAGGTGTACATCCTCAGCATGTCGCCAAGTGTGCGGTTGAACCGTTCAGTGAGACCATTCGTCTGTGGATGGTATGCGGTAGATTTCCGGTGAATGATGTTGCATTCAGCGAGAATAGCTTGGATGACCTCCGACAGGAACACTCGACCCCTATCACTGAGTAATTCCCGTGGAGCCCCATGGCGGAGAATGAAGCTGCGCAGAATGAAGAGTGCAACTTCATGGGCGGTCGCTGCCGGTAGAGCTGCAGTCTCAGCGTAGCGTGTCAGATGATCGACGCCGACAATAATCCCCCGTTTTCCAGAGCGACTATATGGGAGGGGGCCATAGAGGTCTATACCCACGCGGTCGAATGGGCGAGCCGGGCACGGGAGCGGCTGTAACGTGCCAGTAAGGTGCCGCGGAGGTGTCTTGTTCTGTTGGCAAGTGGTGCAAGACTGAATGTATTTCTGCACAAAGCGATACATTCCTCGCCAGTAATATCGTTGGCGCAGCCGTTCATAGGTTTTAGGACACCTGCGTGAGCACTTTGAGGGTCTGCATGGAAATTCATGCAGATGTCAGAGCGCATATGAGTTGGGACAGCAAGGAGCCACTTCCGACCACCAGGCATGTAGTTGCGGCGGTACAGAATGCTGTCTCGCACGGAAAAGTGGGCTGCTTGTCGGCGTAGCGCTCTCGTGGAAGGGACAGCAGACGGATCGGTAAGGTAGTCGAGTAACAATGCAAGGTATGCATCTTTACGCTGCTCCGAAAGCATGTCAGTGGTGTCTATTGGTGACAAGGTGGTAAAAACTGGTGACAGAGAAGCCACATCTCGGGTTAATGGCGATCGCGAAAGTGCATCGGCATTCGCATGCTTGCGACCGGAACGATATACTACACGGATGTCGTATTCTTGCAATCGAAGTGCCCAACGTCCCAGGCGTCCAGACGGGTCTTTCAATGTGGACAGCCAACATAGAG